TATTTGTGACCAAGATGTAATACAGTAAGACAGGTTTGGAAAAAGCGTGGGAACAAGGACCTTTGCAGCCCATATGGACAACTGGGGCCTCGTGTTTTTATAATTATTCAAAGTAGGTGGTGACCCTACTGACCTGTTTGAAAGACAGGTTTGTGTCAGCTATAATGTCTAGATATTTAAAAAGTGTCACAGATTTGATAGCCTCCCCATTTAATATCTTACAGATGATTAATAGTAAAATTACAGAAAGGAAATAAATAGATAAATTTAAAAAAAAAAAAAAAAAAGTGTCCGCATGAAAAAATCTCTGTTCTTACCTGAAGTAAGTTGTTCTTTTACAATGTGTAACTCTTAATTTACTGGAACCTTTGCTGCCAGATTTAAACTTTTTAACAGGACTTTTTTTCCCTCCCTTTTACAGTGTTGCTCGTCAAGAGGGATCTAATTAGAACAAATTTATATACAGTTTCTGTCGTAGTGCTTCATATTTTATAGACTGCTCTCAATTTTTATGTGACATCTTAATGTGGAATGTTGCTAATAAGTGTGGCGGTCCAATACACGTGTCAGAGGAGGAAGTGGAAGTCTAAAGTAGGACAGGACGGGGGTACAAGTACCTTATTGAATTAGTACACGAGACCCTGGACATGCAACCATTGCAGAGGCTGCAGTTTTGCGAGCTGTACTTAAACTCCTTTGCGTTGACGAATGTCTGTGCTCCTTTGTTCACCTCTGGACTTATTTTTACACTTATTGTGTGTGTTTCCACAGCTGGGTGGTCTCTTGTCAGAGCTCCGTCTGTCTTCTCTACCTGCAGCTCACAGTTAACGCTCAGCTCTGCCAGTGTCTCCCCACAAAACATGACTCCTGACGTTTAAAAGCAATTTTCAGGCGTTTGTTGCTCCAGTCACATGGTCACTCACTGAGGAGAACATAACAATATCCTGAAAGTATTTTATCTATTTTTTTTTTTTTTAATCCTGGGGGTCATTTTCTGTCAAAACGGTTTTTAAAATGATTTCAAATTTCAGGTCTGCCTCCAGGCACAAGTGTGTTTTGCTTTAATGTTTGAGCTTCAGAATGACGTATGTGCAGAGTTTGACACTAGAAGGTTGTTTTCACATCGATCTGCCAAAGTCAAGGGAAAAGTTTCCCTTCGCTCACCTTATACGAGTTTAACAGGTGTAGGTACACGCAGGATTTAGTCAAGTCACAGCTAGCTGGGAGCAAATCACAGTCCAGTCTGCAATTCACAGAAGTGTAACGTGGAAACCTGAGACCTCCCTTGCAAGTCCACTGAGATGATTAAGTAGAAATTGGTGTTATTGTGGGGCTTTGACTGTGTAGTGCGGCCTGTCAGTGTGATGTGGAGCATGTGATAGTTTTGAGTGGAGAATAGAAGAGACTGGGAGTTGCTCTGACTCACAGGAGATGTAACCAGCTGTAGGTCCGAGGTCACATTTAAATCTAACGTTACAAAATGCATTTCATAATGTACCACAGTCTTTTTAAATTCAGTGGTAAAGTAGAGCAGGTTGATGACTCTTTGATTTGCTTTACCACGTGATGACATGAGCTACAACTGTGGTTAACTAATGAGAGAAGCTGAAACCTGAGGTGGAGTGAAGCTCTCATTACCCACCAAGTGTTTACCTTTGAAGGAACGTGGCCTTGTAGGTAACCTGTGTGTGACGGAGCTCCAGTGGTGACAGAAGTGATCGACTCCGGTGTGTTGAAGAAGTAACGTTTCCAGCATGTAGCCACAGCCAATGTGAAGTCCACGCCAACAAGGGCCATTAAGACAGGCTGAGGTTTCAGTCTAATGGCTATCCCAATATTAAACACAGCGTTCACTGCCCTGAGAGGAAGGAAATAAAGGCCTTGTTCTTGCAATATTTATTAGTTTTTGTTCATTTGGTTAAAGTGAAATAACAAATTAGGCTGTCATATTTAAACAGAAGTACACGGTGCTGCCCCGCTCATTACTCTGACAAATCTAAATGGCAGGCCTTTGTCGTGGACACCAAGTCTGATTTGACCAGCGACATCCCGATAGGTGTACAGCCATGTATCCTTGCCAGTCAATACAAGGATGCTGCAGGTTAAGGGTCCTGCTCAGTTACGTCTCAGTGGTGGTGAAGATGGAGGGCTTTCACTTCAGAGTCATCCTGCTGGTGCAGGGATTGAGTCTTGCAATGCAGGGACACAGTGTGAATGTCTGCCTAAGTGTAGAGATGAGGATTGTGTTGACGTTGTGATGAAAGAGCCACAAAATGTCATCTGCATGTTAGTCTGCACTTTATTCTGTCGCTACTTGTATTTATTTATCTTTTTTTTAGTGACTGATTGTTCATTTTAATTACCTGAGATGAACCAAGCAGAGTTTCGTTGTACTCTTGTGTATGAAGACAATAAAGTTCATTCACTTTAATCCAATTCAGTCAATTCAAACGTCCCTTGGTTGACTTGGTAACGACGGTTTCTGTCTTGGAAAGAGTGGAAGTTTTCAAAGTGGTGAATGTTTGTTTGATGGTTTGTCATGTGCTCTTATGAGGACAGACTTGTGCAGCGAGGCTGGTCTGCTTCACATGCTGGTGGTGGAGTCTAGAAAACAATGTAGTAAATCACATCAGAGAGACAATTGTTTCCTTCTGTACAGCTTCTCAATTTCTCAGATGTTTATTGGGATGAAATTATGAAGGAGTTACAAATATAAAAGCAGTATTTTACAAGGAAACCTTCACTGTTTTGCATTACAGATTATATGTTCACCACTTTGTTTACAGCATGTACATGTGATTATATACTGTTAATATAAATCCTGCACATTGTATATATACTTTATATATATGTGATTACAGCACATTCATACACATTACATAATCATGCACTCCATTGTATATCCATTGTCATATAGATCACAATTTAAGACTACTTGTATGTTTCTGTGTGTATCGTTGGTAATTAGAGCCTCTTCTATATATTTATACATAAACATATGTATTATGTGCACCCTTTAATGATATACTTTTGTACATAACAGTCCTATCTGCTCTTTACCTTTGTTTGTTCAGCCTTGTTGTCCTTCTTCTCAGCTGTTGTGTCCGTTTCTGTGTCAGTACATTCAACGCAACGGGGGAAAAAATGGAGCTGAGTTCCTCGTACACATAATTGGAGGATAAAGCTGATTCTGATGTTATTGAGTGAACAGATAAATTGATCAGTCAGAGTAATCTAAATATAGAAACCCCGCGTTCTCATGCAGTTTTCCTACATTTCACGGGCTGGTGTTCAGCACAGACAGTAGGACGAGTCAGACAGCAGAAACCAGTCAGCCCAGTGTGTCCTCACTGCTGTCATATTAGCTGTGTTGTGCTGACTCCTGCTGGTAGCTTCTGGGTAACACAGGATGTAGTTTGTTACTCTGCTGGGTGTTACTGAACAGGAAGCTGTTACCAGTGATGGAGAGAGAAAACTATTATTAACAGGGAATAAGGGTTTTACTTCAATTACTCCCTCAGTTTTGTAAATTGTCTCCATTCTCTGAATGTTTTGTGAAGACATGAACTTAGCTCAGTTTGTTCTCAAGGTTTGCTTCCTCTTTTTTTGCTGACCTGAGAGACACTGAGTTGTATGAGAGTTCACTTGAAGGTCCCACCTATGATCATTATTGTCATAACATGACACGATGTTGGACTTCAGACGTTGTGTTGTGCTTTCCATTAAGGGTCTAATGATATGTTTTTCTCAGGGCTGATACAAATCCTGATTTATCGTAATCGAGGACACCAATATTGATATTTGGAACAGACATACAGTATGCCACATTTCTGCAAATACTTTATTATATCTTTTCATGGGACAACACTGAAGAAATGTCACCTCAAAATAACTCAATACACAGTCATTAATGTCTAAACCGCTGGCAACACAAGTGAGTAAACCCCTAAGTGAAAATGTCCAAATTGGGCCAAAAGTGTCAACATACTGGGTGGCCACCATTATTTTCCAGCTCTGCCTTAACCCTCTTGGGCATGGAGTTCACCAGAGCTTCACAGGTTGCCACTGGAATCTTCTTCCACTCCTCCATGACGACATCACGGAGCTGGAGGATGTTAGAGACCTTGTGCTCCTCTACTTTCCATTTGAGGATGCCCCACAGATGCTCAATAGGGTTTAGGTGTGGAGTAAAAATGAAAATTTAAGTGGCAAAATTTGTACGTAAATGCCCTCGTTATTTTACGTTTTTCCATATGTTTAAACAAAAGAAAAATATTCAACATTTAGTTTTGATCGGCTGTTACATTTGACCCGTCAAATAAGGCTCCAGACCACAAAGTGGCGACTGCATCAGAGCCAAAATAATATGTTTCGGAAATTAATTAATTTTATCAGGAATCAGTTTAAAAGATTATTTCTGTTTCTATTGTCATATCCCTTTTTGTTTCTTTACCTGGGAAATATTAAACAATAAACAGGTGTTAGTCTTTATTCTTATTTATCTTATTATTATTGTTTCGGTGTGGAACAGGTGCACAACGCATTTCACATATAACTGTGTTTGTGACTAATAAAAGATCTTGAACCTTGAACCTTATTTCGTGTGTGTAGCAGATTAAACTTCACTGTTTGTAGTTTTGACTAATCCTCTCATCCTAACCAGTATTTGGTTTCATCACTGATGCTAAAAAATCCAGCTTTATGGTAAAATTCGACATGACTTGCTGTGAGACAACTTTTTTGATCTGTGAAAACCATCGGTTCAAACATGGCAACAATCTAAGCCGATTAGTCGTTTGCTTCAGCTACAATAATAACATTTGGGGAATTGAAAGATGAGAAAGTTGGAAATGTTGCGACCTGTACAACCTGTTTGTGTTGGCTTTATCGAAAGCTGCTACCTGGATCTTGTTTTACACTGATACTTGTCTTTATTCCCTTCAGCTCAGTGGGTATTTCCTGTGTGTTAACATCAGCTGTGTGTGTGTGTTTTTCTGCAGGTAAAGATGAAGCTCGGGGCCAGCTGGACTGTGCACTGCAGGACGTCAACGTACGATACGCTGTCCTGGAGGAGACGGAGAAACGAGCTGTGTGCAGAGCGCTGGTAGAGGAAAGAGCTCGTTTCTGCAGTTTTGTCAACATGCTGAAGCCTGTGTTGGTCAGTGATGAGCATTTGATGAATCAAATCCACCAGTATGGGACGGTTTCAGCCTTTGAAACCTGCTAGACTGCAATATCAGCGCTGATCAATAATGTGTGTTTGTAGGACCATGAGATCAACATGCTGGGTGAAGTGACCCACCTGCAAACAATTCTGGAAGATCTGACCAACCTGACGGCTGAACCTAATAAACTCCCGCCGGCCAGTGAGCAGGTACTGCACTTGTTCTCCTTCCGTATTTTGGGATTGTTTTTTTAACTCTTCTGTAGCGCCACCCTCAGTCCTCGTGTTAAATTTTAGCTCTACTGCTCATAATAGTATCAATGGTAAGTCAGGTTTTTATATTTTTATTTTTAACAAATGTCAAGACAAGATCAAAACCAACAATGAATCGGCCCTACAAACAAGAATTAAGTCTCTATCCAAAGCATGAATTATGAAATGAAATGAAAAATACTTTATTTATCCCAGAAGGGAAATTCAATATTTTATTATTGTTATTATTATTATTACCATTAATTTATCCTATAACTATTTGCCAAAGAGGTCTAATTTTGCCTCAAAACTACACACTGTAAGTCATTTTGACACAGCTCCACACACACAGTCTTGCTGCTTGCATTACTCAATAGAGCAACAAATGTGTTTTAATCTGCTGCTGAATGTAGTGCCAATAAATCCACTTTTCCCCCTGTTTGAGTGCTCAGCTGTTCGAGGAAATTGTTGAGCCATTTCAGAGGGAGTACACAAACGTGATAGCTATTTGGCACAATTGAACGCACATGATCGACTGTGATGTTGACGTTCAAGATGCTCCATTCAAAGAAACCAGCTGATGAAGATAAAAATCAGCTGCAGTCTACGGGATCCTACAAGTGAGGTGTTTAGGGAACACTGGCAAGCTGTGCTATCAGTAGGCAGGGAAGCATCTATGTTACATTCTGGTCAAGAAGAAGGTCAGGTCTTATCTTGATGCAGGGATTTATGCATTGGCTAGAATGTAGCACAACATGGAAGCGAGGGCAGTGCTGTCTTTATGAAGACCTGAAAGAGTCTGATGTCTTATATGGGAGGTAACTGACCTCGGAAAACCAGGTAGTTTGGAGAGAAAAAAGACGGAACACAGAAGGATAAAGCCACCAAGGTTGTCATTCATGTGTTTGTTTGTTTGTTTCTCAGGTGATTTTGGATCTGAAAGGTTCTGATTTCAACTACACTTATCAGACACCTCCAGCTTCTCCCAGTAACACACTGTCCAGGAAGAGCAGCATCAGCAGGTAACACACACACACACACACACACACACACACACACACACTTACACATTTTATGCAGATTAATGTAATTCAAAGTGTTTTACAGGTGACTTACAAGTGACAGTTCAGATAGAAAAGAAAAACAGTTACAAACTAGTCTTAGAAGCATCTGTAAACAGCAACTGGTCGTTTCTTTTGGGTTCTTGAAGATGTTTCACTTCTCATCCAGAAGGCTTCTTCAGTTCTACCATTTAAAAATGCAGAAGACCATGAGAGACCAGGGTCATTCAAAAAGTCCCTGATTTTTTGTCATGTGACTGTTGGTCACAGCAGAGTCAGTAATGGCTTCATGGTTGTGATGAGGAGTGCAGAATTTTATGTTTGGTACAGAATCTGGATAGTGGAAAAAAGTTCATTTTTGAGGAAATGCTAATAATAATATTTAAACTTAGATTTGGAATTTTTCTGAAAAAGCAGTAAGTCACAGATGAGTAGTTCAAGGACTGTCGAAAAACTGAAAATCAGACAGTTGTTTCAGTTTTTACAGTTTATCTTAGATGGTGTGCTTTTGGCTGGTTTTTATTTTTTATTAGGATAACATAATAACCCCTGAGTACATGCACTTGTCTCCTCTGTAAGCAGCCCAGATGAGGGTCTACGGGACAATTCTTGTGGTCAGAACACACATAGTTTGGGCTGCCCTGAAACAGTGAAGTGGAAAATAGCTCAATAAAATGCTGTGTAGCTGTTTTTACTCTGATCAGACCAGTTTAGAAATGTGATCGCTAGCAAGTTTTTAGTTTAGTTTAAATTTCCAGTTTATCCGTGCAAGCCCCACCTACAGCCAACACGATCTTCTGACCATAGATCTACAGTGTAATCAGGTTACGTGTGAATTTCTGCACTCGTACAGTGTACTAGAGGAAATAGCCTGGTCACCGTGCTCTCTGTGGATTGTTATCAGTCACAGCAGGGCAAAACACACTGGATAAAACTGATTCTAACGTCAAGATAAGCTTTAAATCAACACTGCTTCCACACGTAGATCACTTGTCCATACTCTTAACCCCAGCATACACCCTCCTCAGTAGAAAAATTCAACCTGCCATAGAACAGTAAAAACATGGCCTGAAGGAGCTTCCTCGCAGCTGCAGGACTGCTTTGAAAAGGACCAACTGGGACATCTTTGAGAATCTTGGAGGAGTACATATCAGCTGTTCTCTACTGCATACACAATGTCACCGTCAACAAACACATCCAGGTGTAGCCCAATCAGAAGCCCTGGATGACAAAGAAAGTCAAATCTCTTCTCATGGACTGTAACACCGCCTTCAGCTCTATTAACAGGGCTCCATCCAGTGCTACAGTACTTTTCGCTCATGTTTACCAGTGTACAAAAGTGCAATCAGTGACTGTTTTTACATTCCCCTTATACCAGATTAGCTGTCTTTAAAAGAATAAGCTATCTCACTGCTCTTATAGATACACTGACACATTCTATTTTTTCCTACTCGATGTTTTATTGACATTTCTTATTAAAAATCTCTGATTGTGTGAATGCACTGACAGGATTGCTGCATAATGTCGTTGCACGCTGTACAATGACAAATGGAGTTCTTGTCTATTCTCTTCTACTGGTGTCAACCTCAATGTGATCATATAACAAGTACTGAAAGCTGACATCAAGTGTCTGGTCTATTTCATGATCTTGTTTATTTAGTCAGAGTTCTCGTATGGTTTAACATGTAAAATGTTCATCTTTTGTTAGATTAACAGTTTTGCAGAAAACATATTTCTCAACAGTTCAAGTTCTGAAAAAAGGAAAGTATTGGTTGGTGTTGCTGGTGTTCGAAGTGTGTAACTGTGGAAGGGCCAAAATCAGAATAGTTCTAGATGACAGTGGGACCAGAGCCTCAGTGTTTTCCCAAGGCTTTACAACCACACTTCTTTCTTTATTTGATTTGACATTCCTCTTCAACTCTGTGTTTTGATCTGTTTAGCATCCTCTGTGCCATCGGTTCTTAACCGTAGGGTTTGTGTTTTCATAGCAACTACCAGACTGGATCAGTGAGACACGTTCCCTCCCTGGACTCCATCAGCTGTGCTGTGGATGGAGTACACATCCAGGTAACACACACACACACACACACAGACACACACACATACACACACGCTCATAGTGATTTTCTTAGATTTAGACAAGTTCTTTCACAACTGAAACACTTGAAACTAAATCTGTCAGTATCTCAGCTCTTAAGATTACCTTCAAACTATCTTACAACATATGGTCAAAAGTGCATCATGGTCACTGCTGTTCACATTCTGTTGTTTCTTTCTAGTACAGCTTTGTGTCTCTAATTTAAAGTGGTACGACACCTTAAATGACACCATACAAAGATATTTTAGACCACCTATTACTAACTTCGTTGCAGCAGTTTACCTTCTCATGTTTTAACATTGCACCTGTAGTGTGCTCAATTCAAGATCCAAAAATGATTCTTTGTGGTTTAATATGGCAGAACTTGACTGGTCTGCACAGAGCCTCGGCCCTAATTCTATCCAGCAACTTAGGGCAATTTGCCTAACATCAGTGTTACACCATAATGCCCTTCTAGCTGAATGGAAGCAAAGATGCAGCATCCATTGCTAAAAGCTGTTAAAGGAGCAGATTAATGCCCAGTTTTGGAGTCATGTGTTCAATTACCACACTGGGGTGTCCACATACTTTTGGCCATATGCTGAACATCAGTGACAATGTCTGATTTCAACACAATGCAGTAAGTTTCTGTTTTTAAACTTAAACTCCACTAGCACAGAAATTTAGTTTAAATATGTTTTAATATCCTAAAGGTACATTTTACTCCAATATAACATTCTCACAGCCCCACACACATGCTCACCATCCTTCTGCTAACTCTCCCCACACTGTAAAATGAAACTCTACAAAATAAAAGTCTTTCATCCTGACAATGACAGAAGCACAAGAACACACACCGCTCTAACCTTCTCCTCTGTGTAGCGCTGCTCTTCCCCCTATTTGCTGATTGGCTGTGATGAAAGCGGGCGGTCCCTCAGTGAAGGGAACTCCCCCTCTCGACTCGGTCGTCAGGGCAGCCGTGGTCGCTACGGTTACGCAACTGCCCGTGGCCAGCACCCTGCACAGAGCCGCCGCGTTAGTCGCAGGGATTTTATCACCGTGAGAAAAAAACTACAACTACTACATTCGTCCCAACCCCGAGCCCGTCCTGAGTTTTTTTCCGTTTGTCTCCAATTCCATCTCACATTTCCTCCAGCTGGTTTTACCTTTTTATTCCTTGTTTTTATCATTAACTCACACGTGGCTCTGAGTTCAAACCCTTTGCATTTAAATCCACTTTTAATGTCACCAATTTCATCCACTGTAAATGTTTCCGGTGAAACTTTATATATGTCATTAATCCAGCGCTGACTTCATCCCATAAAATTTGAATTTGTCGATATTTTAAATCTAATTCTTGATGTAATGCCATAAACCTTTCTATGTGTGTGTGTGTGTGTTCATGAGTACAGTGACAGGTGATGTGTCAGTGTTACGTGTATTTATAGTTTTGGACTTACCAGTGTCGTCTTTGGTGTGTTTTTTGTTTGTTTGTATCTATAATCTGTATTTGTCGTGGTGCGTCTTTGACTCTTTTGATGCTTTGTGCTCGTCTGTCAGAACATATCTGACAATGGATGTAAATTTTAGCTACCGCTGTTTTTGGCCAGCGGTCTCTAAATTACACCTGATTCCTGTAGAGTGATGCAGAAATCATTAGTGATTGATTATTTATTTTTCTTACACCAAGCGGTAGAGGGTTGTTTTTTTTTCCTTTCTTCAGAAGTCAGTAAGACACAACCAGGACCACATCCCTCAGTATTTGTTGAAGCACTGCCCTAAAACCAGGCTTTGGAGCAACAAGTGGCTGTGGTCAGGGGGTAGCCCAACTGATGCTGGATTCTTGGGACCGATCCAGATAATAGTCTAAACATTAGCTCACACATTTTTTTTTTTAAGTCCAAAATCTGTTTGCGTTTTCTCAAAGAAGTAGTCAAGATAGGACATTTTAGAAGTTTGGTTTTTAAAGTGAGGTTGTATGAGGTACTTATCAGTAATCAATGTATTACTTACTCGTAGATGGTGGTTAGAAAACCCCCAGATTGTAGAGTCAGAAAGATAATCAGCATAGAAGACCGGAAACTGCTTTGGATTGGGTCGGCAGGAGAAAGTTTTATAATCATAGGGAAAAAAAAGAAATTAATGGAAGCCTTAGTTAGAAAGCGTTCATTGCTTTACCTTGCAGTCAAACCGACCTTTCCGACAGTGAGCTGAAGGATATTTTAACACGTTGGTTCAGATCTAAACGAATGTTTAATACACTAAAGTCACACAGCAGGAGACCAACAACTTCTGTCTTCTGTTACGTAAACGTACTGTCTTTGTCAAAGCAGTCTGGTTGTTTTAAAGAGAGAAATAAAACTGCTTCCATATCGGAAAGGGCTGGTACTTCTAGATTTATTTGATTAACTGGTATTTCCTTTAGCAAATAGTCTCCGTTACTTTTTCTATTAAATTCCGAGTCTATAAAATGTCAGGAAGTAGTATAAAATGTCTATTAACATTTCACCTAGCCTAACATAACCACACTAATTCGCTTGTCTGAAACCTGGAAGATGTTCAGTTTCCACAGATATAAAACAGAAAAGCAGCAAATCGTCACATTTGAGAAGCTGGAACCAGACAATGTTGGACTGTTTGGCTTGAAAAGTGACAGAAACAATTATTCAATCATCCCAACTACAGCGTGTTTTTCTTTTGAGTAACTATTTTTTTAAAAAAGGCTGCGATGTGTCAAATAGTTTGAGCACCAGAGATGTTTCTAGCCATTTGCCCCCTTATTCAATCGACACTGCCGTATATCCAGTTTTTCACACGTGCACACCTCAGCCAGCCCTCGTCCCACAGTCATCTACCTTGTCGCATCTTTGTCCTTTTACCAAGATGCCCTCTGTTTTTGAAATTTGCTGAAATGCTCCTTTAGGCTGAAGTCGATACTGTCAGTGTCAGTGGTTTCCTGTGACAACGTTTGTGTGCTTTAAATTGAGGAGATAATTTCCAAAGTTCCACCAAACTTCACTTCATTACAAAACATTTTTATTGTTTACTGAATCACAAGAGTCTCTGCAATGCCTCATTTAGCCATTAAATGAGACACTTTTATTGATGTTGTTGTCAGTTATTATATATGATATTTTCAGTGATATCCTGCATGTTTTGTATTATCAGCAAATGCCATGAAAAAAACAAACAAACAAAACCAGTGAATCAAGCTGAACATGTTGTGTTGACCAGCAGCCATTGTAGAAGTCCTTCATACAATACAATGATTACAGGCATGTTTGGGTTTTTTTTTAAGTTTAATCCTAAAAATCAAATCCCCAACCTTTTTTTTTTTCCCCCTTTAAGGGATCTGCTGGCACATGTTAGAGGCTTCTCTTGTATTCAACCTGTCAGCCTCTGTGTACCTGCTGTCACAGGTGCTCTACAGAAAGCAAGTTTTGCAGTTCTTGTGTTGAATGTGGGACTTCTATGATGGCACTACACTCTGTGAACTGTGCTCATCGTACACATTGATTGACTGACTGGTTATTTTTTCTGACAGGATGCAGTTGGATCCACCAATCAGCTGGCATCCGGGGGGAGTGGAGGGGCGGAGAACGGCCTGTTGGCCCCTCCACACAACGCCTACACGCACCACGGAGAGAGAGCTCGAGCCATGTCTGCGTCTGGGAAGGTACCACAACCTAGTTACGACTCAGAGAAACAAAAGAATCTGTGTCATCTTTTAGATTCCTCTTGATCTGTTGTTGATGTGTTAGGCCAGTTCAGGCAAACAGGAGATGACGTGACATTTATTATTCATTTTAGAAGGTTTATCTCCAACAGCAACTTGAAAAAACATAATTCCAACAGAAGAGGTGGTCAGTGGCACCACTTATCTGTCACCTGCAATGCAGTCCTAAGACCCGACCCAGAGAGCTTAACAGCCATTTAAAACTTGACTAGTGATTCCCATGGTGTTAAATCAGTTTTGCTACCAAGTAGAGCAATCACAGCTGTTGCAGTCTGTGTTGCCGCAAGGTGCAGTTACGTTTTGGAGAAGGTGCACATCAGGCTATGTTGTACCTATAACGTAGATTCAGCATGGATGTTTAAATCAAGCTTGTGTCACACTATTAACCAGCTGAAATGCAAAGACCGTCTTTCCGAAGAACTTACACCATCCCTGTGGAGTGATGTGAGAGCAGGAAAAGAGCAGACGAATGGAAAAGTGAAGACTAGGCAGGGACAAGACCAAGTCAACAACAGCAGTAGAGCGAGGCTGAGGAGATGAAGATTATAACTGTCTAGATTCTCCGTCAACTTTTCTCTATAAACTTTTAATACAGAACCATCCATCTACTCCCCTCTGTCCTGTCCTAAACTCACCTCGTTCTCCTCCCTCCCTCTCTCAGTCTTGCTCGGCCCGGGATCAGCTCGCGTTGACGTTGGGTGTGTTGAATTCAGACGCCCCGAGGAGCAGCAGAGACTCTCTGCACTGTTCGAGTGGCTACAGCACCCAGACCACCACCCCGTCCTGCTCCGAGGACACCATCCACACACACAGTGAGTACAGAGAACCCACGTGATACTTCACAAACTCACACAGGCAGGTCAAACTTAAATTGTTTGACTGTCTGAACCTCTCAGGTGTGCCCTGTTGTGTGTTTGAGTCATATTTCTTTTTTTTTTTTCTTTGTTTGGATAAAACTGGGTTTCTGTTACCTGAATTATTTCCTAGTTTCTTCTCTGCTGTACTTGCGCTTCTCTGGTGCGTTTCTTTGAGTAGGTGTTTGTTTTCTTGGTTAAACTTCCTTCCTTCTCTTCCAGCTGTAAAGAGAGATCCTCCCCTCTATGGTAGGTCTCCTACTGCCTGCCTGCCTGCCTGCCTGTCTGTCTGTCTGCTTGTCTTCTTGTCTACTGGGGTCAGGGTTTGATTGCATGCATTCACATCTGCATCCAGCATTGCATTCATTTATGAAATCTGTCTTTCCCAAAAGCTCCATTTTCAGTCACTTAAAACTGCATTTGCATGTGGCCAAAAGGCAAAAATGCATCAAAAAAGCTGCATTTTTACATCATAGCCATGTACGTGTGGACAAGGTCTCAGTCAAGTTTCTGTGGTTTGATGCAACAGAGTGAAGCTTTGTTCAAGCACAGACCCAAAGAGAATGCGTTATCTGACAAGAACTGTGCTCACTGAATTAGCATTTATTCAGGGCTCCAGAATGCAGCCTTTTTTTTGTGAGCGTGCAAGTTAAAATTTTACGTGATGGCATTGTGTGAGTGAATGATGATCATCAGGCTGATCAGGGTCCTTCCGTCGGCACAGGTAGCTGCTGCACAAGATGTTATGGTTGTAAATAGTCATATTTTGTCCATATTGACTCAGTCTCTCTCTGTCTGACGGGTAAAACAGTTTCACTATTACTGTGTTCCAATGATACAATGATATATAGCCAATTATGTTTAAAAAAAATAAATAAAAAAACAGCGAAGTGAGAGGAGGAGAGGGAGAGGTCTGACACACCTGGTGATCAAAGTGTTCAGGTGCAGGCAGACAGATCTCGACTGAGTCAGTCAGGAAGAAGAAGTAGCCCCACATTCAATCTGGAAGGTTCACATTTTAACAGCAATCACAGTTCTGACTCTATAAACATGATCACCAGTGATATGGACATTTAAAATGTGCTCAGCTCGTAGAAAAGTCAGTTCATAAAAAACTGTGCAAATAGAAAACTTTTCAACTTTGGCAAACTTATGTAAAACGCGATTTCCACTGTTATACAGCAAATGTTTGGTCGCTCACCTGTCAGAGGAGCTGCTCTGCAACTGCCTGGTAGCATCCACCGTAGCAGCATGTGAGGCGTTTAGGGAACATTGGTAAAAATGTAGCATCTACCCACGGGCATTTTCAGCAATTATTTAAGCCTGTGCCCAGTTAATGACCGATATCAGAAAAGAACTGGTGACAAAATAAATGTATTTTCAGGTTAAAACATTTTACAAATATCAAGTCTTGTATCACTGAAAATCCATGCAAACATAACTAAGGTATGCAAAACAAAAACAAAAACAAAAAGCTATTCATCAGCTGCAATAGCTGTGGCAATGCTCAACCAATATAAGGTGGTGGGGCGACCAAATCATTTGCTGGTGCGACCAACAAACAAACACCAGTGCTACCATTAGAAAAGTGAGTCTGGAGCCCTGCATTAATTGACAGTTGATATGGTGTTCTGCTGGTGATGTTTGTCTTTTTAGTCCCAGCTTAAGTTTGGAAACTACTAGATGTCCTGAAATTGATTATTTCTTTTACAGTGAAGGCAAAAAGAAAATCAAGAAGTCCTCATTTTTGACATGTTTACTTCATTATTGAAACCAAAATATACAGAAAATATGGCACATGTTCATCATTAGCTCTGTACAGTTCAGTTCTTTTTATGTTTGTGTGTTGTACAGCTTGACGTCATCTACATTAAGTGAAGTGTGCGTCTGTTTTTAACTTCATTAATGGGAACATTATGCGGGTTTGTGTGTATGACCTAAAAGTAATTTGGTTGCATGTTGCCTGTTTTGGTTCGATAAGAGTTTCCACAATGATGCATCCCCTATTTGTCTGTTACACTCACACGAGCAGTGAGTCACTGATGTGATTATGTGTTTCTGTCACTGCTGTCAAATGACATGAAAACACAAAATGTCACTGAGATAATCCAGCATCCAACCAACATGTGTTTTTTTTTTTGCCTCTCTCTACAGTCGACTACGAGTCCATCTCTCTCCATGGAGACGCTGACTCCATCTCCCTGCATCACCTCTCCCACGGCAACAGCCAATCAGACTTTGACAAGTCTTCAACCATGCCGAGGAACTCTGACCTCAGATTCCAGTACCGGGAGTTTGTTCAGTCTAAACGCCCCGCCTCCACCGTCAGCCTATTGGCTGAGGCCGAAATGAGCGGCGGGTCCATGCGCCAGCTGCCGTCCCACACGGCAACCATCAGGCGCAAACCGTCGTCCAAGCCGGCGTATCGCAGAGGCACAATCAGTGGGGGGGTTCCCATCCCCATCTGCACCCCGCAGGTTCCCCTTAAAGCCTTCGCAGGAAACGGCAGCAGTGATGAGAACGTTTTCGCTGCACCCTCTGCTGCAGGAGGTTTAGGTCACAGTAAACTCTGCACCTCCACCCAGAGCCTCAGTGCACTACCTCCCTCCTCCTCCCCGTACTACCAGCTGGTCCCAGGTCAGATGCCCATCCCGGTTCCTGTGCCTACTGTACCCTCCCTGCAGCCAGAGGTTAGCAACATTAAGCAGCAACAACAGAGACAGTACCAGCTACAGCAGCAGCAGCAGCACCAACTCCCCCAACAACTCAACCATCAGCAGCAACGCTCGCAACTACAGCAGCACAACCAGCAACTCCAGATTCAGCAGCAGCAGCAGCACCAATGGCATCAGCAGCAACTACAGCAGAAGTTTCAACATCAACAGCAGCATCAACAGTTTCAACAGCCGCTGCTTCAGCAACCCCAGCAGCTGCAACATCATCAAGATCAGTATCAGCAGCCAGACCAGCATCAACCACATCTGAACCAGCAGCAGAAACAGAAGCTGTTCGTGCAGCAGCACCAGGGCCAGCTTCAGGCCGCCGCTGCCCAAGGAGAGCCCCCCAGTCTGGGCCACAGCGCTAACTACCAGCCCCAGGCTCCTCCACCCTCCAACCAGGACCAGGAGCACGGGCAGCTGACCGAGGAGGGAGGAGGAGGCGGAGGAGGAGATATGCTGACCCTCATAAGAGGAGTGAAGCTCAAAAGGACCCTCACCAACGACCGCTCCGCCCCCCTCCTGCCCCCTCCACCCAATCACAAATGAGGCTACGACGACAGATTGTTTTGCTTCTCAGCTGGAGGACTGTCAGGTTTACTGGGCTCCGCGCCTACCAGGCACCAGAGTGTGTCAGCTCAGACTGCACAGAGCAAAGTCAAACACATTTTGAGGTTGTGGACTTTTGCGAAAATACTGATATATCGCTGGAACCCGACATGTGTCTTGCTTTATTTTATAACGTTCTGCTTCCTTTTAGGCCATTTAGATTTCTGTTTTTGAGACTTTTGTTGTCATCTCCTGTTGTTGCAGCGACCGTCTTTTGCCTTTTTTCTTTTGGTTCATGTTTGCATTTCGATTGTGGATAAGGTTTTCGTGTGACTCAGTCTTACCAATAGAACTGTTGATCGTTTTAGTTAGCGCCCATTCCTGGTCACAATAATGTTGATTAGCCAGACCAGGAAGCTGTTAGTGTCTCAGATCCTCGAATCCTGGGTGTGTTTGATTTGCTTTTTTTTTTTTTTGCCTAAACTCCCAGGAGGGTGGGGTTTATTAAATAGTCTAGCTGCTCCACATTGTTCCACGGTTGAACCATGGTGTGTGGAGTCTGTAATCTGCTGGCTGTGGGTCAGTGTTGGTCCAGTGAATTTGAACGGTGGCTGGTTGGGTCCTGATCATCTCATAGAGTCGAACCAGACGCTCTCGATTCTGGAATGAAACGTCGACCGGGTCTACAGGTTGTAAATATATTCGAACAAAAAGAGCTTCGACAAGGTTAGATCTTTTTTCTTCATGACATGTTGTCGGTCACAGTTTCGATTTCTTTACTTTGAGATTAAAGCTGTTACTGTGAGCAAAAGTCTGGTTTACCGTGTAAATAATTAGCTGTTCAATGTGACGAGAAACGACAAGAAAACAGCGACTTGTTGGCAACTTTAAGAGGCAACGCTGATGTTTCCAGAGATGTGGATTACATGCTCTCTGAAAGCATAGCCGGCTATGACGAGCAGAACACCAGCTGTTGACGTGTGGAGGCGGTTTTACAGGGGACACGCCTCCCTGTTTGTTACTGAACCACAGAAAACAAACTCTTAAAAGTAGAATAATGTAAAAACTAGACCCACTAAAGATATTTGGCACCAACATGTATTTCCTTCAAGACTTGATCAGTTATTTTTTTTTAAATGAGAAATTGTGTCCAAGATATTAATTACTCGACAAACTACAACAGTGACGCTTCTTTTAGTTACCAAATAAACATTTTTTTGCATTTCTTGTTGTACCTGGCTGACATGCGTGATATTAAACAGTCCCTCCACCTAGAAATAAAGATTCGTAATAATATTCCAATTACATTTAAATAATTCTGCAGTTTAAGTCCGGCACCTCTATGGAAACGTCTCCTGAGTACTAAAACAAAGTTAGAACGACTTAAATCATAAAAAAAGAGAAAAAAAAACGACAGTTAATTTTTATTCATCGTTCATTTTACAAAAATTGGAGAAAAATGGAATCAATAGACCATTTTAACCGTTTTCATATGTGCAGACTTGGCCATTATTTTATACAAACACAATTTTAGGAATCATTCAAATTTGTACTTTAATTAAAAATGAATATTGGACATTTGTTCTGGCTCTCAAATAAAATGACAGAACGGACATGACACCGATTTAATACCGTCGTTTTGAGAACAGGGACATGAAATAGGATTCAATGACAATAAAGTTATTTTAAGTTTGATTATTTAAAGACATCAGGAGCCAATAAATGTTTAGAATGGTAATTTGGCAATCATTTTAATTTTCAAACCACGAGCCCGTTGTTTTTTCTTTAGTTGTTTAAGTGTGTAAAAACACAATGATTAAAATGCCCATCAAATGTTTGTAAAGCCACACAACATTCATTTTACTCTTACAGTAAATTAAATGAATGTTTCTCTCCTTTCTGTCCTGTTCTGCTTGTAGCTGTCTGCTTTACTATCGCTTCTGTTCTTTTAGCGACAGGACTGATGATGTTACTTTCATTGGATTGGATGCGATGCTGCTTACAGCCAGTCCTAGTCCACAACTGTGAGGACTGTCTTTAAATTAGACTGTATTTATTTAGTTGGGCTTAAATAGCTGGTTCTATTTCGGAGCCTGTCCCAGGTTGGCAACACATTTTATTATTAGCCCCCTTCATACTCGTATATTTCTTATTTGATGCTAGATTTCCTCTCTAGTATCTGTATCCAGACCTTCTGAACTCAAAGCAGCTCATTTCTCCTCACTGTGGGCTCATTTCCACTGTCATATAAAGTCCTGCACCTCTATGGAAACAGAACAACAATCAGTAGAAGGAGAACGAACTCCCACATTTCTTTTTGTGCAGCGTGATACAGTTGAAATGAAAATAAACTACAAACCAAAAGTTGAATTCTTTGATTATTTATTAAAGAATGCATAAATGACTTTATGACAAAAGCTATAATGCCAAAAAAAAAAAAAAAAGGTGACTATACCGATGTATTAGAGGCAGAAGAAATAGGAACAAGAGTTGGTTATTAGTAGTTGAATTAGCGTATTTCCTCACTATAGTTTCAGCTGTGAGAGCAAAATCATTAAACGAATGCAGATTAGATTAAACGACTTTAAACCATTGCCTGATTTCTGCAGCTACACAGACGTGCTGCCTCTAGAAGTTGCCGGCTGACTTGGCGTGTTGAGCTGTCAGAGCATGCTGGGAAACGGGGTCGTCGCTACAACTGGAAACTGAGCTCATGTCCGTGTCGGTTACACTTTGGGGGAATATAAGAGGTTAAAATGACAAGCAAGAGTATACAGGCTGCAGCGAATGAATTTCATTAAATGTGGCTTTTATTGAATCCATGAAACATTTCATCTATAAAATAGCAAAATTACTAATAACAGCAGTCTTGTTTATTCTTGTCAGCAGTCAAAAAACAGAGTTTAAGATTAGAGAAGATGAAACACACGTGAACACTGGTTAAGAAGCTACAACCAGCACACGTCTGCTTTAAAACTGCCTTAACTTTTATTTTTTCTACATTTTACAGTCTAATGTCGTGTTTTTTCAGGTTGTTGCTGACGTATTTCAGGACCAAATATCTTAAAATTTGACTTTTTAGGTGGAAAACTAAAGTTATTTAGCATTTTCCACCAGAATTACACACCTGAAGCGGCAGCAGAGGGTGTAATGCAGGAAGATAGCGTTGACAGGAAGCATCATTCAGTTTAATCCGTACATTATGAAATACTTTCAAAAAATGTAACAGAGTTTGGTTGCACTTTGAGCTCAGGTCATCAGCATTGCTCAAGTTCTGGCGACGACCCTGCTGTGAAGCTGCCCGTCAGAGAACAGCTGCATGCTGGGAAATGCAGTCCAGTCTCTGGTCCGTTGCTCTGATCTGTTTTAAGATAAATTTGTGTGTATTTTGGGATTCTGCAGCTGAGTGTTTGTATTGTCTGCTGCACTGTGATTCACCCGAGAGCGTCTCCGTTCAGTTGACTGATTGTCTGATTGGACCCACAGCAGTCGTGTATGTATATATTAGCGCTTCTATTTCCGGGAGAGATCGAAATCTATATATACAAATGTATGTATACATATCCTGATTGTATTTTTGTTGATTTTTGTTTTGATCCGACGATGTGATCAGATCTGACGCCGCTGTCGGCCGTCGTATTTTTGTAGCAAAGCTTTAAAGGAGTGAACGCGGTGAACTTCCTGATGTTTGAGGATCTGAAGCCTGATTGGACGTCTGATTGTTGGAGCGAGCGAAGGACTTAATGGACAACATGAACCAGCAGAATGTAGACATGTTTTGTTCTTCATCTTTTGACGTTCGCTGTGGGATCAATAATAATAATAATAATAATAATAATTACAATGATGATGATGAAAGCTGATTGTGGCGTCTCTTTGTGTCGTGTGTTTACTCTGTCTGTACGGTTTATGTGCCAAAATCATAAAACACTTTTTTTCTTTTCTTACATTCATCTACAATTTTACATTTCATAAAATCTAACTTTACTGTGATGAAGACAGAGCAGGCGAGACTCATGAATGAAGACTGTAATCCGGGTTTTGACAAAACGTCGACAGTTTAGTTTGTTGCTTCGAGCTCTTTGGGATTCTTTCCTTTGAGTTTGATAAATAGCTGCAGCACCAAACATCATTTATACCTGTAGAATAACAGCACTAATAAAATCGTCTTCTAATGTCGTCTTTTCTCGTATGAAAAGTCAAAAAAATAGTTTGACATAATAGATGATGAAATAGTTCAGCTACTACTGGCTGAGTAGCAAAAATAGATTTAATAAAATTTCACTAACTTAATAAGTTGTATCTACGTTTTTGGTTTATGATAGGTTCTTTCAGAGCAAATATCTTGAAATTACAATTTTGAGGCAGAAACCTAAAGTTTTTAATGGTTTTTTGTTTTGTTTTTTCACCAGAATTACACACTTGAAGCTGCGAAAGAGGCGATATGACAGGAAAAATGTATTTAACGTAGTATAAAAGTTTTTAATGAATACCAACAAATATTCTGCACATATTCTTTCTTGGGGTCTAATGGACCCCGAAAGACCTTCTACATGTACCAACATGAAAGTCCTGAATAGGGTTAAAAATGTAGAGTATGGAGCCAGTCATACTTTATGAGATGGATCGAATTATGTTTTTTGCATTGCAACATCCATCCACTATCTATACACCACTTAGTCCTCACTAGGATTCACTAGGACTCACTAGTGAACTGTTGTGTATTACACATCCCCTGGTGGACTGTTTGTACTGTTGCTGCCACTTTGACAGTCTGATGACGCTGCAATGTGACACATCCAACGTGTGAGAACGGCTTTTTTTTCATACTTGACTCTTTGTAAAGTGTCCTAACACAGTGGAAAACAATCCCTGAGGTGAACAACAGTCTCAAACATGATTAATCTGATTATAAACTAAAACCATAAAAAGCCTGATTATTTTCCTGTGAGTTAACTGAAGGTGTGTCTTCTGTGTTGTGGTGCTGCCACCTGCTGGACAGTTGTAGGTCAGGAACTCTGTGGATCCCTGAAAAAACCTCAAAGCTGAGAGGAGTCTGAAGGAATCAGGAGGTTGTAGGGAATGGATGAACTGACTGAAGGCTGAGTTTAGTTTTAGTGGATGTTCAAGCTGAAAATAGCCCAAATTAATAACTGAGACACTAAACTGTTTTATCTGTAAAGTGCAGAGAAGGGGAAATGCCCAACAAGACATATTAATACTGCAAAAGGTATTCGATTTATGATCATATACGACTAGCAGATCCATGAGTTCCAGATCTAAGATGCTGAAACACTGTTAAGCAGTTTATAACTCTCATAAGTTATTAGTGGTTCATGTTTTGTCATCTGTCACAAACAGCAAAACTTCATTTTCTTCAGTAATTTACCCAACTTATGATATACACTTCTTGATTATGTAATGATGATACATAATGATGCATAGTTAATCATTTATTTTAAGAGTATTTTCTGACAACAAGAGCAGTGACACTGACTCAAAACAGTGAATCTGCAGCCAACAATAAACCGAAAGTCTCTGTGACAGCGACTGAAGCAGATTCAGGTGAGATTCATCCTCCACATTGTTATTTGATCTGACAAAAATATTGATTACAGTCTCTTTATCATTTACAGCCTGCTGTTTTTCCCCTCTGCATGGCTCCACCTCCAACATCCACCTTAGAAAACACAGAACACAAACTCCTGATCAGATCAGTTTCAGGGCTGATGAGGCTCCTCTGACTCAGATGATCCTCGGGGTGTAATTTAGGCCGTGCAGGGAGGAGAACAAATCCACCAAAGCCACCAGCAGCAGTGAGTTTTGATCCGTTTCCTCTGTTATCACGTGCTGCCACTCCACAATCATAGCAACGAGTTGTTTTCCATCTGACTAACACATGCTGACGACCTCACTGACCCTCAAACCTGATGATCTCCTCTGATGACAAGATGCGCTGCAGGTGGGGGTCTGTCAGGTTCACTTGTGGTTTGTCTTCCTGTTTGGTTCCTTAGAGCTGAAAAAACAAAATGTGTGTGTCCTTTAGTTTGTATCTGAATTCCCAGTTCTGATCTACTACTACTGGGAAAGCTGCTGCTGAGCTCTGGCCTGGGCAGGAGACGAGGCTCAGTCGGTCCAACAGCGACCTCTGTGGGTGAACGGTGAAAACCAGGAACGAAATAAACACTGAACATAAGAGAACTTTATGAAATACCAGGATAAACCGACCAGAACCAAGCTACGGACTTATCAGCTCACAACTACAAACTCAACACAGACTACAAGCTACTTGAGTGGAAAACCTAAAAATCACAGAGTAACACACAACAGACTACACTACCATCAGAGACTAGCAAACGTTCAGAATACACAACTACAGATGATTCAGAGCTGCTCGCTAGAGAGCACGGCGGCAGAGAGAACTACAGGGTCCAGGGAAGCTGGTCCAGGTGGGCTCCAGGCTCCAGGCGGGAGGTGACAAAGTGTAAATGATACAAATCTGTTTTAATCTGGTTTTGACTTGTGGCATAGAAACTGAACATCTAACTGATCAAATTTTTAATAACATCTGAAATCACAATAACCAACTAGTAATGCAGTAACTAATAGGAAACATGGCATCAGAGGTCAGTACAAGTGTCAAAAGTCAGAGTGTTGTTCCGAGCAAAGACGGGTTTTATTAGCAACAAGTCATAGCTGGACTGAAAGAAAGGCAGCCTCATCACAGGTACAGGACTGATTCAGTTCAGAACACAAGAACAAGCAGCAAAAGTCTGTCTGGTCTCAGAGGACAAAAAGAAAGAGCATCATTAAAAATTAGTGCCAGAATTGTGACTGTTAAGAGATCAACGTCACCCTGACCAAGAAGTGGCATCACTACATGGTGTTGTCATTAAAGAAAGAGGTGTGCAGACATCTTCATCAATGTCTGGGCTTTAATGACAGCAGAATGGAAAGATCTCCACTTTTTGTCTCACATATTTAGTTCCATTTCTAAGAGGAAAAACTTGTTTCCACCATTAAAACAAATTGAAAATTAAAAATGTATAAATACAGATGTGGCATCAGAGCTTTGAGTTATCACATAATGTTGACTTTCCCACTTCTATTTTTGTCATCTTTCACTTTTGCTGTATATTTTTTCACTTTTTTTTCATGATTATGTTTCCTGGAACAGTTGAACTTGATGTCTTCCAGGATGCAGATCAAAGCTGAACAACTTTGCATCCAGACGACAGACTGAAGGAGTGACTCACTTCTTTCTCCTTTGATCACGACAACCAGAATGACTCATTTTTTTTATTCTTTCTCTCTTTTCTTCGCTCCTCTGTTCGCCCTGCTTTGTGTTATTCAGAGTCATCTGATGCTCAGGGGCAACAGGTGGCAGGCGAGAGGCTTAAATTACAAGCACATGCATGTTTTGTCTTTGTGAGGGCGACTACTGACACGACGCATTCAGTCCCAAACAGAACCTGATTCCCAAAACCAAGTCTTAATCCTCAAACAGCCATTTGAAGCTGTGAAATTCTGTGAAACTAAAATTAGTCCTGAGAAGCATAAAAACACACACACACACACACACACACACACACACACACACACACACACTCACACTCCTTCATCCAGATGAGTTGGGATCAGGCTGTTTACAGGCCGGCAGAGTCACCTTCACTTTTACCAGACAGAGCAGCAGGTGAGTCGGTCCAGTGAAGTGCTTAGTCATGGTTACATAAACACTGACGCGATGACTCACGCTGACCCGCAAACTGAAGGAGACCGACTCTCTGCTCAGTGACTCACATCACAGTGACTCTGCACAAATCTCTCTGAGTGTGTGTCCAGTGTGTTGCACTGGTGTTGCACCAGCTGCAGTTCCTGTCTGCACCAGCAGAGGGCAGAACAGGCCACAGCAGTGCAGCTACACAAAGCTCATCCAAACACACAGTCATCACCAGGCACTCACATCTTGTACTTAAGTAAAAGCAACACTACCACAGATTAGAAAACACATTTTTTACTTTTAAAAGTAACACCATCACAACATAGATACACTCAGCTACAAGTAAAAGTCACACATTCAAGTTTTTACTTAAATACAAAAGTATTAACATCAAAGATCTTTTATTTGCTGATGACATTTTGTGTTATTAATCTGAATATGCAAAGCAACAAGTAGTTAAAGTGATCAAACTAATGTAGTGGAATAAAAAGCACAGTGTTTGCCTCTCAGTTGTGGTGGAGTGGGAGTGCAAAGTCACAGAAGGTTTTATTTCATCCAGTTTCATCAGCTGTAGTGAACGAGGCGCTCAGATCTTTTACTTACACACTAATATAATGTAATTAAATATACTCTATTGAGAGCAAACATCTGTGTTCAAAACCCTAATTCAATGAAAGTTCTGAATATTATTTTTTTTTAATATTATATGAGCTAAAAATGAGTGAAAGTACAAATTATGTAAAAAAATGTCTCCCAGTTATAACATTAAGTTGTTAAGACTTAGCAAGCAGCTTGTTTTAATGACTGCAAATGATAAAAGGACAAAGTGCTTTCAAAAATAAAACCAAAAATAACTTCATTTTTATTTCTATGACCAAGTATTTCATATTTAAAAGTGTTTTTATGTGGTTCATAAAACACCACTAGCTGACTTCTGTACTGTCATGTTTTTGTTAGAGTGTGCTCAAAGATGGGACTTTTCATGGCAGCTTCAATTTTCTAACCCGTAATCAGAGATTATTTGATCTACTTGTGCAATATTGCAAATTCTGAATCAATGACACGGTTAGAAATAACAGTAAAAATTCAGTTTTATTTTTAATAGTTTCTGAGATATTGTTGTTCAGACATAACCTCA